ATTCACCAAGAGGATCTCTACATTGCTAACAAAGAAGCTCTTGCATTAGAGAGAAGTGAGGTGGAATTCTTGCATAAGGCCTTGGCCAAAGAGCAAGAGGACCATGCTATCACAAAGAAAGCACATAATGCTCTCAAGAAAAAGTATTGTGTCTTGGATGAAAAGCATAAAGAACTTGAGCTGCAATATGGCGTTCTTTGGGATAGTAACTCACATCCCTCTAAGACAAAGAAAACCTTTACTCCTTCCACTAGCCAAGGATGTGGAAAATGTTATAATCTTGATTTAAATGCATATTCCACTAACCTTGCAAATAAGGAGGCTATAAGAAAGTAGATTGCTAGGCTTAATGAGATCATTGGAAAATGGTGCATGGATGGCAAGAGCCAAGTCAATGACAAGAAGAAGGATGAACCAAAAGGGCCACAATACAAAAAAGGAAGGCATCCCTCAATCAAGCATGGGCTAGGACACACAACAGGAGCCAAGACAAATGGAAGAAAGATAGTGAATGACTATGAGTGTGTGCAGTTTGAGAGGAAGGACAAAATTAGTGTAGAGCAGCCTACACAGACCACGGCAGTGCAGCGTCCCTGAGCGGGCGGTGAAGGGCAGCAGTGCCGCGCCCCGCAAAAATAGGAAGGTTACCAATTCTGTTTCTGATCAGACTAAATCCATGAAGAAGGTGTTCCAGCAGAAGCAGGTTTTCCAGAAGCCAAAGAAATCAATATGGGGCACTAAGAACAAGTTTGCTTATCAACCAAAGGCCCATGCACCTAGACAAAACTTGACATCGTGCTTTGTATTGAAGAACAACAGCAGTGGTCAAGTGGTTGCAAAATATATTGAAAAGGAAATCAACGTATATAGGAATACTTCTATTTGGGTTCCTAAGTTTGTTGTGACTAACATGCAAGGCCCCAAGTCAAGTTGGTGACCTAAATCTAGCAACTAAACTTGTTTTGCAGGCATACTCCTCCGGTGGATCAAGTTGGGTGCTTGATAGCAGACGTACAAATCATATGACCGGGAAAAGGAGTATGTTCTCATCATATTCCCCGATGACGCACTCAAATGAAAATATTGTCTTTGGAGACAATTCAAAAGGGGATGTGATTGGTCTTGGTAAAGTTGCTATAACCCTTGAACATTCAATTACAAATGTTTTACATGTGGATTCGTTAAGTTATAATTTGTTGTCCGTTTCTCAATTATGTGAGATGGGCTACAATTGTCTCTTTATGGATAAAGGTGTGGAAGTCTTTAGAAGGGAGGATTCCTCTATTGTCTTTATGGGTCGATTGAAAATAAGCTTTATCTAGTTAATTTCAATAAAAGTAAAGTTAAGCTTGAGACTTGTTTAGTGACAAAATCTAGCATGGATTGGCTTTGGCATCGTCGACTAGCCCATGTTGGGATGAGGAACTTGACCAAACTTATAAAAGATAAACACATCCTTTGACTAACAAATGTTCATTTTGAGAAAGATATGATTTGTAGCGCTTGTCAAGCCAGAAAGCAAGTAGGTGTACCTCACCCACCAAAGAGCATCATGACCACTGAGCAACCATTGGAGCTAATTCGTATGGATCTCTTTGGATCGATCGCCTATCTAAGTCTTAGGGGTAACAAATATGGTCTTGTTATTGTTGATGATTATTCCCGTTTTACTTGGGTATTCTTTTTGTACGACAAGTGCCAAGTTCAAGAGAAGGTGAAGATATTTGTTAGAAGAGCACAAAAGGAGTTCAGTCTCCCAATTAAGAAAGTGAGAAGTGATAATAGCACTGAATTCAAGAATACTCTTGTTGAGGAGTTTCTTGATGAAGAGGGCATTAAACATGAGTTTTCAACTCCATACACCCATCAACAAAATGGTGTAGTAGAGAGGAAGAATCGAACACTCATTGTCATAGCAAGGACAATGCTAGATGAGTATAAGACGCCAGACCTCTTTTGGTGCGACGCCGTCAACACCGCTTGCCATGTCATCAACCGCCTCTATCTACAAAAGAAGTTGAAGAAAACTTCATATGAGCTTCTAACCGGTAACAAGCCAAATGTGTCTTACTTTAGAGTGTTTGGGTGCAAGTGTTTCATACTTAACAACAAACTCAAAACCTCTAAGTTTGCACCTAAAGTTGATGAAGGTTTTCTTCTTGGTTATGAACCAAATGAGCATGCCTACCATGTTTTCAAGAAAACCTCTAGAAGAGTTAACATTGCGGTAGATGTGACATTTGATGAATCTAATGGGTCTTAAGTAGAGCAAGTTGATTCAAATATTGTAGGAAAGGAGGATCCACCATGTGAAGCAATCAAGCAATTGACTATTGGTGATATTAGACCACAAGGAGGATCCACCATTGAAGTGGAGGTTCCTCAAGTTGCTGTTGCACCAATTTCCGCTGACACACCTGATGCTGAATAGCAGCAGACCCCTGCTACAACTCCTGCTCGCGGCAGTACCATGCCTGATTGCGACAGTGTCATGCCTACCCAGTCAGCAGTAGCTGATTTGACTCCAACTCGTGGACAGAACCTACAACCAATCTTCGAGCAAAAAGAAGATGAAGATCCAGAAAAGGAACAAGAGGCCATTGATCACCCAAGACTAAGGCAAATGATACAACGGGGTCATCTCGTTGACAATATCCTTGGGAGTCTTCGAAAGGGGGTAACAACTCGCTCACATTTAGCAAATTTCTGTTAATTTTACTCGTTTGTTTTCTCTTTGGAGCCTCTTAAGATAGAACAAGCACTTGGAGACCCAGATTGGATCATGTGCAAGAAGAGCTCAACAACTTTGAAAGAAAGTATGGACTTTGGTGGAAAGACCCAATACCAATGTCATTGGCACCAAATGGGTCTTCCACAACAAGCAAGATGAGAATGGTGTGGTGACAAGGAATAAGGTAAATATTGGTTGCTCAAGGATTCACTCAAGTAGAGGGCTTGGACTTTGAAGAAACATATGCGTCGGTGGCAAGGCTTGAAGCAATCCGAATGCTTCTATCCTATGTCGCTCATCACAAATTCAAGCTCTATCAAATGGACGTCAAGAGTGCATTCCTCAACGGCCCTATTCAAAAACTTATCTATGGTGAGCAACCACCGGGCTTTGAAGATCCCAAGTTCCCCAACCATGTCTACAAACTCCAAAAAGACACTCTATGGGCTTAAGCAAGCACCAAGTGCATGGTATGAATGACTTATGGATTTCTTGCTTAAACAAGGCTTTGAAATAGACAAATCCGATCCTACCCTTTTCACTCACAAAGTTCCAACATCTGATATCTCTATTATCTTATTTACTTCATCTTGTCTTGACCTAGCCATCAATTAACTGCACAGAAAGACAATGAACATTAACATATTTAATAACAATACAAATATGTTTGAACGAACTGCATGAAATGCTAAAACGTCTAAGCATACAAAGTATTTCTTGAAAATATGCAAGAGCAAATTTTAACGGCTTTGTAAGAACTTCCTAACAGTTTTCAGTGTATTGCAAACCAGAAAAGTCTATTCATGCAGCTTTATCTGTAAATAAAATCAGGTATCTTAAGTGCTCCATTAAGTGAATTTAGAGAACCACAGGAACTCCAAAGGCAGAACTTTTGAGTCAATAGTCAATTATTCTTGTGCAGTTTTGGGCTCCTTCAAGAGTGGAGGCATTCATGTGAAATGATAGTTTCTTCAGTATGCTTCCATATTTAAGTTTTTTTTACGGAGGTAAACCCTGCTTTTATAAAGCAACAACTTCCATATTTAACTTAAGCTGGTAAAGTGGCAATATTTCCCAATGCATTGCAACGCTAAGGTATCTTCACATAACTGCAAGCATTTCTCATTTTCCATTATTTCTTAGTAATCGCATATGAGAACCGAGCAATAGCTCAGTTGGTAGTCTCTCCTGTCAAGGAAGCCACCCACCAGGGCTCAAACCAGGGTGCTTGTGAAATATAGGTACCTTCATGAGAGCTGGTTTCAATCAGCTTCCAGCTAGAGTCTGGCATTTCCATGGCGTCAACTCTTGTAACACAAATCTGGATCCCTAAACTTGTTAAGTGTGTCACCCAAGGTCCAAATCACCATAATCATCACAAACAAACCTATGAGGCATGCAAACATGACACCTGATTGCACTATACACGACAGTAACAACTAACGACAGCCATTAACATGAGTAGAGCATGGAACATCTCAGGCTCCATGCAAGAGTGCCACATATGTTATTACTTGTTGATTGAGGTGATTTAGATCTCAAGTGATACACTTAACAAGTTTATGGCCTAGATCTGTATTTTAAGAGCACATAGGACAACGCGGGACAAGTGTAAGGACCACCGGTGCACTTTTCTCTTCCAAAATTTATTTTTTCTAAGCAAAACATGTCCTTCTAGTCCTAACCTTCAGTGACAAATGATGACAAATAAGTTGTATACACAGAAGAATGGATTTTTATCTAGAATAGTAGAAATGTTTGTTCTCAATATATTGCTTCACTGCAGCTTCTAGAATAAAAGGAATGAAATGACTGGATGAACTCACATAGTAAAACTTTGCTTCCGGGTATCTGTTTGTATTGAGAGACTTGAGAATTCCAAACCAAATATGAAGTTCCCCTATTGACATTTCACCAAGAAAACAGGCATAAGTAGTATTCGACGGAATAATAAAAAGACAAAAAAAGGATAACACTTAAGGTTAGAATGTTAGATGTAGCGTACTAAAACTAGGTTGCCGACAAATGTTATTTGGATTTTTTATTTCAAGCAGCCCAATTACAATTTTGGAGATAGAGAGAGATTTTGGATGCATTAGATCTATAAAGACTTGAGAGGGGTGGATGAAAAGAAAATCAAAGGGACCTCTAATAGGCTAAGGTAAGACAAATTAAATTCTGCAGTCATTGTGACATCAATGAAAAATGAGCTTGGGTAGTTTTTGACCACCTTCATGGTAATTTTTTAAGAAAAAAGGTTGAGATATCATTATGAGGAAATAATAAAACCAAACTTGGACGACAACTGAAATAAAACCATGCACAACACTGAATAACAAAAAGAAATTATGCAGACACTAAATAGCAGAAATTGGAAAATAAAAAGAGATATACTTGACCGTTGTGGGTATCCATGTATACAATATGAACATTTCGCATAGAAACCTGGATACTGTCCAGTATCTGCCATCATAAATTAAACAAATTTGATAAAATAGCCTATGTTTCAGCACAACCTTCAAAACTACTGATGTTTAAACAAAATAATGCAAGTTTGTTACCTTTGCTGATATGTAGGACAAAAACGACTGTCCCGTTTGGTTATCTAGAAGTCAAAAGAATAGGGAAGATCATGAATAGTGTAAACTGCATAACTCTTCTGAACACACATGAGATGAGACTTGCAGCAATTACGTTACATTATGATAAATTCAAGTACAAGAAACATGTTAGCAAGTGATCCCATAGAGTTTATCATGAGAAATATTCATATCTTTTTTTATGAAGGTTCTTTGATAAACACATCTTACACACATACTTAGTATATATGGCATGAAAACTTGTGAGGCTTTGTCTAAGCTACCAGTTCAGTGACGCTGTGTATTCAATAGAATAGAAAAGGCACGTGGTAAAACAAAATAAATCAAAATAAAAAATGGTGACAACACGAAACCTAAAATCACCACTAGAAGACACAACTGAAGTTGTTGAGCTAACAGTGAAGTAAATTATAAAGATAAAATGACCTTTGAGATTTATTAAACCAACAATAGGGTACTTAATTGAGGATACAGAGATGGCTCAAGAGTTAGGATACGAAGGAAGGTTAATCCTAACCCTTCATGTTTTTTCAGTTGACGGTTAGAACTACCCCACTGACATATCCCAGTCCTAACCCCCTACCACTAATCAATAAATTCAAAAAGCCTGTAAGGAACATGGGTGTGCAGGCTGACCTGTAACTCTTCTAGAAAATTTAGCAAGCTCAATGGCATTAAGTTTAGCCAACTTTCCAGCTAGTTCTCTCTTGTCCAGAGAATCTGAGCTCCACTGATAAAGAACCAAAGAATGTATTCGGTCAGAAGGGTGGAAACATATATATTTGACAAAGTGAATTGAGCACTGTACTATGACCAAATTCAATGACATGCCTCAGAGTCCTCCCTTGGGCATGCGCAAACAAAGACATCTTCTATGACAATAATGATAGGGTCCCATCCAAGCTTCTTCCAAGGAATCCGGATGCTTAGCTTCCCAATTCGTCCTGTAAAGCAGTAGAACAGAACAAAAAGTTTACAACCATGCAATGGTTAACAGACAGGAAAATCAGTACAGCTGGATTAAAAAAATCGATACCATTCTTCAGCGCGAATGGCAGCTGCAGGTAGTCAAAGGCTTCCAGAATCAGCTCTACATTTTCGAGCTGTATTTCTTCTGCAGATCAGGGGGCACCAGAAACATAATCACAATCAGATACACAGTAGGTTCCGCGTGAGTATTAGCACTACGAGTAATTACTTAGCAATTCTAAGTATAACATCCAGTAGTAACGGAAAGCCAAAATAACTGTACACTTAACATTGCGCAAACTGACACATAAAACCCAAAACTACACTGATCAGTCAAGAGCACTACACTGATGGAAGCCCAAAAGAGCAACAACACACGCAGCCACATAATTCCAAAACTAATGCTGCGGTAACAGGACAGGCACGAATTCCAGCGCGGCGTAGTTCAGACAGCCGCCAGTTCGCTCGCGGTTGGGCAAAAGCGCCGCTAGAGAGAGGAGGGAGAGGGAATCGAGGGCTGACCCTTCCAGATGCCGATCTTAAGCTGCTCCTTTTGGATGGCCTTGACGTAGCGGCGGAGGAGGCCGTCGAGCACCTTGCTCACCACCCCCTCGAACATGGCGGCGGCGGTCGAGACACCCTAGGGAGCCGGCGCTCCCATGTAGCGGGAGGAGTAGGACACGGGGGGGAGGATGGAGCGGAGCGTAGGGTGACGAGGAGACGGGAGGAGGGGGAAGGGGACGCCAGCGGTGGATGGAGAGGTCGGGTGGCGCCGCCGGGGCGGGGCTTTTTCAGTTCCGTTTGCTTGGAGAAGGAGGCGGACGACGGAGGCGACGGCGATTCGTGTCGCCCCTGACTTCTGCTGCATGGCCTCCGTGGACGAGTGGTAGTGCCACGTGTGTGAGTACACCGACATGTACCGTATTTTCGTATTAGAAATGCTATACAACATACATGTGTTTTAGCATAAAAAAAACACATGAATTTTCTCTCTCCCTCTCTCTCTTTTCGACTGTCTCTGACGCACGCGCGTTGTGGTGGCGCATTGCTTCACTGACGCGAATGGAATGATCGGTGTCGGCGCTGAAGCTCCTGTTGTAAACGCCACGGAGATGTTGCATCGGCTGCCATGGCGTGCTCGAGCAGCAGCAGCAGGACCCCGAAGACGCGTCCATGTCCAGCTCGCCATTTCCAGCCTGCAGTGTCCATCCGTCCCTCCGCCGGGAGCTTCAGCATGACGCCCTCCTTGCTGTGCAGAGCGCCGGAGGCCTTGCCGAGCTCGAGCATGCGCTGGTCCGAGACGAGTGCCAGCAGCAGGACCTCAAAGCCAGAAACGGATTGACTTCTCCGACAGCGGTCTCGATGAGACGTACTCGGGCGCGAGGTGCTCGTCCAGCAGCACGGTGACGCGATTTGTCCTCTTGTCTTTGCATATAAAAAAAATTGTTTCATGTGATCTGGATATGTAATCTTGTGATTTATGATTGTTTGAAGATAGAAGAAGGTTGGAGGTAAAAGAATGCTGAAGATAGAAGAAGGCTGGAGGTAGAAGGAGACTGGAGGTTGTTGATCTTCATTCTATGGTATAAAAAAATTTATATGTTGAAACTATATAAAATACATAGTTTTTGATAGACAGACTCCTCTGTGGCTGCACATGTACTCGTATTCAGCCGTCAGCATGTATTCATCTAGAAAAGATGTACTCTGCTTGTGTCCGCAATTTTTTTTCGACGCAGATGGGAAAAAATCTCAAAACGTTTTTGAACGTAAGAAAAAAAAATCTCAACGTCATGGTATATTCACTTGAGAAAAGGTTGTGATCGAAAAAAGAAATACACACTGGAGCTACGTATTCTGGTAGGAAGCTGCTGAGACATTCAGTTATTCAGTCTGTCAGGCTTGTATTCAGTCTGTACTCGTCCTGCAGTTAGCTTAGCTTCTCGTTGTGGTGACTGACGTCGCCTACGATCGTGCGCACCACGCACTCCCGGCTGTAACTTGTATATATACTCAATGAGATGCAATACTACAGTGGTTGGCCACATTCTCATTCTCTACATGGTATCAATTGCCACAGCTTGATTCTGCTCGCCTCCCTTCCGCAATCGTCGCTTGCCTCCGGCGACGCCGTCCTCAACTGCTGCTCTCTCCGCTGCTCATCCTCCCGGCGTCATGGACGTCAATCCTCTCTTCGAGTTCAACCAGTCCGACGTCGATTCCTCCTCCTCTGGCTCCAGCGTTTCCTACGAAGCCTCCTTCGACGCTCCTGTCCTCCCCACGCCGACGGCGGCTATCTTGCAGACGGTCAACATCAAGACGCACGTCCCCGTCGAGCTCAACCTCGCCGAATCGAACTACACCGAATGGCGTTGCTTCTTTGACGCCTTCATCGGGAAGTTCGGCCTCGGCAGTCACCTCTCCTCTCCGCCAACCATCGACAACCGCCGTGATCCGGACTGGGTCATGAAAGATCAGTGCATCTTGAGTTGGCTCTACAACTCCATGGCCAAAGATGTCCGCGCCATTGTTCGCGTTCCCAAAGCTACTGCCTACTCCATTTGGAACGCCGTCCATGCTCAGTTCACGGACAACGAGATCCATAGGGCAGTCTACCTGGAGGCGGAGTTCCGAAACCTTGTCCAGGGCGACATGGACATCACGACCTACACCGGCAAACTCAAGCAGCTGTCCGACACACTGCGCTACGTGGGCCAGCCGGTCCGCGAAATCTCGCAGGTTCTCAACATGCTTCGCGGCCTCAGCTCCAAGTACCGGCACACCGTCCCCGTGATCACCGCGAAGAACCCGCCGCACACGTTCTTGTCGGCCCGCTCCTATCTGCTGCTGGAGGAGCAGTATGACAAGGATGTGGGCCGGCAGGCGAAGTCGGCGCATCACCAAGCTCTGCTCGCCACTGCCGGCACACGTTCCACCTCTACTGTCTCCGGCGATAGCGGTTCCAGCTCGGCCTCCAAGCAGTCGGTGCCCGCAACCGCCTCAGCTCCACATTCTGATCGTGCGCCCAAGAAGAAAGGTCGTGGGCGTGGTCAAGGAAGCGGTTCCGGCACCACCTCTACTGCTCGTCCTCAGGCTCCAGCGTGGGTTCCTGGGCTGAACCCCTGGACCGGCATGGTGCAGGCCTGGCCCATGCCGTTCCACATCCCGGGCTCTGGCGTTCTGGGTCCACGCCCCGGCACCCAGCCACAGCAAGCTTACCTCGCTGGCACCGTGCCCCCGCCGCCGATGTACGCACCCCCCGGCGTCGCAACTCCACCTTCGCCGAACGTGTGGAACCATCAGGCCCTCCTCGCCGCCCTCGCGACATCCGGTGTGCCGAACACTGGACCACAAGCCTCGGAATGGTTCCTCGACACCAGCGCGACGTCGCACATGAGCTCCAACGCTGGTAATCTTTCTTCTCCTCTCCACCCTTCTAAATCTCCTTCTATCACTGTTGGCAATTGAAACATCCTCAATTTTCCGCGAAGGGAAAATTCCACATAATGAATTATAATATGATGAAACCAAGAACTGAGTCCATCATATTATCATATTTCAGTCGATGTCACAGTCATACATCGTAAGATTACAAGAATACAAGATATTACATCACTGGGGAACACACCTATTACAGAGTTAATCTAGCGGAAGACTATCGAGTGAAGGCTCCTCCTTCACGGGCATCATCAGAGTTGGCGTAGTGCAGCGTAGATTCCATCTCCGAACCAAACTTGAGCGTAGGCACGAGACCTCCTAATCCTTCTAAAGTCAGCATCTCTGAGAAGCAGGAAATCTGCACACCACCAGATGTGTGCAGGCCATGGTCAGCACCGATGAGCTTTAGTGGAAAAAGATAAACAAGGGATCTGGTGATCCTAATATTTGGTTGTGGTTTGCATTCTTAGCGCATGAGAAGTAAATAATAATTGTATAATAATAATATCTAATTTTTAACACATTCACCACCACACCATCCATATCCATCCACCAACCATCCATCCCAATCCATCTCCACACCACCACACCTTATCTCATCTCACACACTCAGGTCGACAGGCCAACTCCCTCTCGGCCTTGCCTCAACGGCCCGAAGCCCCAAGGCTCACGACCGGAAAATACCCCAACCCTGGAGGGAGGATAGAAGGACTCATCTCCTATCTAGTTTAAGCGAAACCCAGGAATGGTCCATAGCCGACAAGTCGGCATATGTATTGATCGATCAACCATACACTCTGCAGAGGTTTCACATACCACAAAGATAGCCATCCTCGGCGGTGCCCGTCTAGGGCGGTCTGGCCGCTTGCTAGCCTAGAACGATGCCACACTATCTCTCGTACTGGAACATCCCAAGTTTAGTGCTGGGATGGCTGATCATGTGAGTCGAGATGCAGAGCCGGGCCCACCGGATGTCAAGAGCCGGTCCACAAGGCCTCCTGAAGTCTCGGAAGGGTGTGGGGGGGAAAACCGCGCACCCCGTACCTCCTTGCACATGTTTGCCTAGCAGTAGTGGCATCGCTCTACCAAGTAGTCGACCGTCCCGCACCATATAGGGCGAGTGGGTTGTAAAGGATTCCGGTGAATCTGAGTACTAGTAAGTCCTTAGGGATTGACCAAGCGAGAATGTCTTCATCGGGGTTTCCATTTACCGTGCCACCACAAGACACCTCCACCCGGGCTCCACCTCTCCGAGGTTCACACCCAAGGCCACCTCCAATTACCATTTACCGTCACGGTATTCCATATCCAAGTGCCTGGTAGCACCATATGGCAAGACCCGCCCCAGAGCTCGTCGTTATTCAGCTCGGTCGACACAACCCTCACTCTCCACGCACCCAAGACACACGCAAAGACTCAAGACACCACCAAGTCCGCACCCATAGCCAAACCATTCCCTGGGGTTCACCACCGACATCACATCACCGACATAATGCGAAGTGGAGTTGATAATAAGTATAGTGGTGTAATATGCAAGCAAGCGCAAGCAAGTAAGCATATATAAGCGAGCAAACGCATAAGCGGGGGTGACGTGGTAGAGTGGGTTGCATCGAGGTAATAATGGCTCGGTAGTAGCATGCATCAAAGTACTAGCAAAGGATTAATTATAAAGCGCTAGCGATTCTAGATATTATGCAATGCCTAATAGGATTTTCTAAAGGCGGTGCTACCATGACACTGCGATGTCGAGGTAGTAGCGGTACAAATCTTTGTTAGTTGATGTAGTTGATCGCAAGGTCTCCTCTCTTTCGTAGGGTCTGTCGTCGATCACGTTCTCCTACTCCATCGGGTTACGATCCAACGTTGTCCTCGAGGCAATTACCTCCCAAAACACACTCAAGGCAAGAGAACAAATAATACTCCAAAAAGGCGACATGACACAGAATGAACACAAAGAGGAAACGACTTGGCCCTCTCGGTGGATGTTCGATTTCCTCGGGCCAAAGAAACACGAGTGGTGGTTTCTTCGAGCACAAGCTTAAGTCATGGCCAAGCCGGTGATGGCTTTACGATAAACGGTTTAAGCGGAGCTTATCCGAGCAAACACCATGGCTCACGAGCTTTCGATCCGGTGTCATTGAATTGACGGGAATTGGAAGTCGGGCCCCAAGAAAGAAGAAC